CTGCCGCTTTTTTCCGGCTCGGGGTTTTGCCGGAGAAAAGCGCCAGTCTAGACGGGATCTTGCGGAAAATAAAGCCTTTTCCGGAAGATCCCTTATTCCTACGTTCCGGAAAAGGCTTTATTTTCCGCAAGATCCCGTCTAGACTGGCGCTTTTCTCCGGCAAAACCCCGAGCCGGAAAAAAGCGGCAGTCATGTTCATGCAAATGCATTTGCAATTCCGAAGTGTCTCATTAGCATCCCTTTTCCGGAAAAGGCTGCCAATGTAGACACAGCCCATATGGTCAACTCTATATTCAGTTAAAACACAAAAGCAAGGTCATGTTCTACTATCTCCTTAAGGAGAGAATTTTAATGTGACAATTTAGCCTCCCAAACAATTATTTTTCTATGCAGTCATTCAGTTGCATGGCTCCTGGCTTATAAAGTCTCCTTTTTAGCCTCTGCTTGTCTAATGGCGACTAATTCCACAACTAAGAACTGAACAGATTGTGTTCCTGTGACACCATTAGTGATGTAATTGTATGGCATGGTTTGAGTAGTAAAGGCATTACCCACTTACCAGTGAGCACCAAATCTATCACTTTTGCAACAGTATTTGCATGATTTTCACTGACCTACAATGTAAGAACCCAGAGGTGAGTCCTATAAAGCAGAATACAGCATATTGTATTCCTTCAGGCTGGTCTCTGACCAATTATAACATATGTTCCTGCTGCTTCCCGTTTCTGGCTCCTATTATTAAGCCAAGTCTCCTGATCAGGAGGGAGAGAAGTAAGCTCCATTTTACAACTAAATACATTAACCAGCAGATTATTTCTGATGTATTGTCTCATCCTATAACTTTAAAAAAGTTTGTACTAGTTAGAATGAGTTCCTGGCCATTGCCTTAATGATCCACAACAATGGTACATCATCATCAAGTCAATCTTTTCAGTACTTTTTCTGAACAGGATATGAGTCATATTGACTGCAAGCAGCACAGAGTTCAGCTAAAATCATCTATGAAGGATAGGCAGGGGAAAAAAGAGAGGAGGTGTTGCCTTGTATATTAAAAATGAATACACTTGGACTGAGGTGGAGATGGACATAGAAGACAGACTTGTTGAGAGTCTCTGGGTTAGGTTAAAAGGGGTAAAAAATAAGGGTGATGTCATGCTAGGGATCTACTACAGACAACCAGGCAGTAGAGGTAGATGACACTTTTTTTAAACAATTTAAAAAAATCATCCAAAGCACAGAATTTGGTGGTGATGTGGGACTTCCAGCTATCCAGACATATGTTGGGAAACTAACACAGGAGGGCACGGATTATCCAATAAGTTCTTGGACTGCACTGGAGACAATTTTTTATTTCAGAAAGTTGAAAAAGCTACTTGGGGGGAAAGCTGTTCTTCATTTGATTTTAACAAAGAAGGAGGAACTGGTTGAGAATTTGAAAGTGGAAGGAAGATTGGGAGAAAGTGAGCATGAAATCATAGAGTTCATGATTCTAAGGAATGGTAGAAGGGAGAAGAGCAAACTAGAGACAATGGATTTCAGGAAGGCAGATTTTAGTATATTCAGAGAGCTGTTAAATGCCATGTTTAACTGCATACCTCCATCCATATTAGAATTAAAAACTTCAGAGGGGTAGCTGAGCTAGTCTGTACCTGGAAAAACTTAAACAATGAATAGTCTAGCAACACCTTAAAGACTAATAAAACATGTAGATGGTATCATGATGGACACATTTCCTCCACCTTATACCAGAAACCTACCGACTGCTTCACTTACCTTCATGCCTCTAGCTTCCATCCCAGACACATTTCTCAATCTATTGTTTACAGCGAAGCCCTAAGATACAACCAGATTTGCTCCAAACCCACAGACAGAGACAAACATCTACAGGGTCTATACAGAGCATTGTTAAAACTGAAATAGCCACCCGGAGAAGTGAAAAAACAGATTGGCAGAACCAGAAGAGTACTCAGACATGAACTACTTCAAGACAGGCCAAGAAAAGAAAACATCAGAATTGCTTTTGTCATCACCTACAGGCCACAACTTAAACCCCTCCAATGCATTATCAACAATCTACAACCTATCCTGGAAAATGATCCCTCCCTCTCACAGGCCTTGGGGAAAGGCCTATTCTCGCTTACAGACAACCCCCTAACCTCAAACAAATTATTTCTAGTAACCATGCAGCATACCTATGTCATAATCATCCAGGAATCCATTCCTGCAATCAACCCTGGTGCCAACTCTACCCATACATCTACACAAGCGATTTCATCACTGGACCTAAACACATCAGCTACCATATTAGAAGCTCATTTAACTCCACATCCACTAATGTGATCTATGCCATCAAATGCCAGCAATGCCCCCACTGCCATGTATATTGGCCAAACCGGACAGGCTCTACAGGAAAAAATGAATGGACACAAATCAGATAGCTGAAAAGGTAACACACAGAAACCTGTTGGAGAACACTTTAACCTGCTTGGGCACTCGTTAACGGATCTCAAAGTCATTGTTTTGTTTCAGGCCAATTCCACAAGACAAGTACACAGGGAAGCCTTGGAATTTAACTTCATTTACAGGTTTAGGATCCATCACAAAGGTATGAATAAAGACATTACCTGGCTAAACACTACCTTCCACATATTAATGACTTAAAAAAACAAACAATGGTTACTTCAGAAAAGTTTGCACCTTCTCTATCAGCTTCATGTAAGATGAACACTTTCATTCACTTTTTTTTCCTTTTCTTCCCCCATTCCCTATGTATTTCGAAACTGGAACTTTAATAACACCATTCATCTGAAGAAGTGGGTAATACCCACGAAACCTCATGATACCATCAACATGTTTTGTTAGTCTTTAAGGTGCTGCTACACTATTCATTGTTTTTTTAGTTTTTTCATATTAGAATTGTGTGCATGTAGTTGTACTGGCTGAAAACACAAAGGGTATGTCTACACTACAAAGTTAATTCGAACTAACAGACGTTAGTTCGAATTAACTTTGATAGGCGCTACACATGCAAACCCCTAGTTCGAACTTAATTCAAACTAGCGGAGCGCTTAGTTCGAACTAGGTAAACCTCATTCTACGAGGACTAAGCCTAGTTCGAACTTGCTAGTTCAAATTAAGGGGTGTGTAGCCCCTTAATTCAAACTAGTGGAAGGCTAGCCCTCCCCAGATTTCCCTGGTGGCCATTCTGGCCAACACCAGGGAAACTCTTCTGCCCCCCTCCCGGCTCCGGACCCCTTAAAGGGGCACGGGCTGGCTACGATGCCTGTACCAGGTGCAAGCCTGCCAGCACCCAGCTAGCAGACCCTGCACCTGGCACGGCTCAAGCCAGCCACCCGATGCCCCCCAGCTCTCCCCCTCTTCCTGGGACCAGGCTGGCGGCTCCCGGGAGCTTGCCTGGGACCGCAAGAGGTGGGCACCCGCCTGGACTAGTGCGGACATCGTGGACCTCGTCCACGACCTCCGCACTAGGCACAGGAAAGCGGCCGTCTAGGGCAGGAGA